AGGACTAATTATAGGAGACTATTCGCGGTAGAAATGTTCAGAGACCAGCAAGAATTTCCCAAAATTTTCATATCGTCACCGATACCTGCAGTTGACCATTTGACACATTTTCCCTTACTGAATTCGTACAATAACAAACCTAGGCACGATGATATTCGTTTCGATGATTCACACGACTCCCCTCACTCTACTACCCATAAGTATATCCGCCGTATTCCGCGATGTCTCAGCACCAACGCCTTCGAGCTTCTCACAAAAGGTATCAACAGGGTCAGCTTTCTAAACCATAAATACACGAATTAGCATGGAATGAGAGCATTGCACTATATAGAGAGCGAAGTAATATGACTTCAATGCATATGCCATCACGTCTTCTCTAGTGAAGCGCGTCAGCTGAGTTCGCAATATTCACTTATTCGACACTCGAATTTTCTATACTCTTTCCGAAATTCCTATAGTAAAATCGAAATTCTAATAATCTATTCGAAATTTCCATAATCTCCTCCAAATTTCTATAGTTTAACCCAGATATCCAGAATTTGGTACAGAAAAGAGAACACTTCCCGAACACGCTTGCCTTTGGTTCCTACCTGAGAGCTGTCCTTCCCCTCCTTCCGACTCTCCCTCGCCAAATGAACGACCATATCAGCCACGTCGGGATCGTTGATGTCCCAATGATTCTCCATAGTTTGTCGGACATGTTTCCGTGCGTTAAGATAGAGAATCTTCTCCACCACAGATCTCACCGAAGGACCGCCTGACTTCGTGGACAAGTCCGGACCTTTTGAAGGTCCGTCTACTTCAGTGGCTACAGGAGGGGCCATTTAGTACGAATAACAAAGTAGCCCTTTATAATGATGAAATAATCGTATACGCCTTCCCGAATTTTAAAAGGACGATATAACTCAACAAATACGCCCACGACGGGAAAATGTAGAGAAGTTTATCAAGAAAATTTAGATTTTCTGATAAATTTCATAACCGCAAGAGCGTCGCTGGTTTGAAAGCGTTGGGCGATTCTCCTTGGCAATACTCGTTAACGTCATGCCTACGTGTCTATAGTGGACATGTCGTATCAGAAGCTCGATGTCGATCTGGTCCACAGAAGAGTCTGCTTCCAGATGGAACGTATTCAGTGATCAACTCCTATCAATGACTACAAT